AGCACTATAAACTTTTCTCTTAGCACCGTTTTTGTTGCATCACAGAGGTTTTGATAATTTGTGTCACTGTTATCATTAATTTTGAAGAATTCTAAAATTTCAATCTTGATTCCATTGTTAAACCAAAAATCATTCAGGAGCTGATTAATTTCCATGTGTTTATATAGTTTTGAGAATTATTTTGGAATTGATTTCTGATTTTGTTCTCTTGTAGTCTGAGAAGATACTTGATATGATTCTGATATTTTTACGTTTGTTAAGAATTGTTTGTAACCTATCATATGGTCTATCTTGGAGAATGTTTCATGTGCTAATAAGAAGAATCTATATTCAGCTTTTGGGTGGAATGTTCTGTAGATATCTGTTAGGTCCATTCTTTTTTTTCTGGAATACAGCTTAAAGTCCGGTAGTTTTTTTTTTTTGTTGTTGTTGTTGTTGACTTTCTGCCTAGATGATCTGTCTAATATTGTCAGCAGAGTACTGAAGTTTCTCACTACTATTGTGTTGCTCTCTATCTCTTTTCTTAGGCCTAATAGCAATTGTTTTATGCATCTAGGAGCTCCAGAGTTAGGTGTATATATATTTATAATTGTTACATCTTCTCGTTGGATTGATATTTTTATCATTATATAATGACCTTCTTTGTCTTTTTTTACCATTGTTGCTTTAGAGTCTGTTTTATCTGATATAAAAATAACTATTCGTGCATGCTTTTGGTTTCCATTTGCATGGAATATATTTTTTACCCCTTTATTTTGAGTCTGTAAGAATCCTTACATGTTAGGTGTGTCTCTTGAAGACAGCAGATATTTGGTTAGTGATTTTTTTTTAAAAAAGTATTCTACCATTCTGTATTCACATTCAGTGTTAATATTGAGATGTGAGGTACTGTTCCAGTCATCATGTTGATTGCTACCTAGTGACTTCGTTTTCTTTATTTTGTTATTGCTTTATAGGACCTGTGAATTTTATGCTTTCAAGACATTCTATTCTGATGCATATCAACCTTTTGTTCAAGATTTAGAAATCCTTTTAGCATTTCCTTTCTGGTAGTGACAAATTTCCTTAACATTTGCTTATCTGAGAAAGACTTTATTTCTCTTTCATTTATGAAACTTAGTTTTGCTGCATAAAAAATTCTTGGCTGACTATTATTCTGTTTAAGGAGGCTAAAGATAGGACCCCAGTCTTTCCTGGCTTGTAAGGTTTCTGATGAGAAGCCTGCTGTTATTCTGATAGGTTTGTGTTATAAGTTACCTGATGCATTTTTTCTTACTGCTGTTAGAATTCTTTCCTTTACATTGACTTTAGATAACACGATGACTATATGCCTTGGCAATGACCTTTTTTTCAGTGACTACCCCAGGAGTTCTTTGAGCTTCTTGTATATAGTTTTGTAAATGTCTTGCAAGGCCAGGGAAGTTTTCCTCAGTTATTCCCTCAAATAAGTTTTTCAAACTTTTTGCCTTTCCTTCTTACTCAAGAACACAAATTATTTTTAGGCTTGGATGTTTTACATAATCTCATATGTCTTGAAGACTTTTTTTTTTTTAATTCTTTGTTCTTTAGTTTTGTCTGATTGGGTTAATTCAAATCCTTGTTTTCAAATTCTGAAATTCTTTCTTCTACTCTGTCTATTGTTAAAATTTTCTACTGCATTTTGTAATTCCTTAAATATGTCTTTCATTTACAACAGTTCTGTTTTTTTCTTTCAAAATATCTATCTGTTTAGAAAATTGTTTATTTGTATGGTTGTTTTAAAAATTTTCGTATGCTGGTTTTTATCTTTTTTTTTCTATATCCTTGAGTAGCTTAATAATCAATCTTTTGAATCCTTCATCTGTTATGTCAAAAGTTTCATCTTGATTTGGATCCATTGCTGGAGAGCTTGTGTGACCTTTTGCGTGTGTTGTAGAACCCTGTTTTTTCACATTATCTGAATTGTTTTTCTGATTTCTTCTCAGTTGGGTAGACTATTAATTTTAATTATTTTTAAACTTATTTTTAATTTGTGTTTTTCTAAATTTCTTTTTACCCCCTTGAGGATGTGACTTTACTGTTTGTAGCTTATTACTGTAATCTAGTTCAGCTCTGGAAGGTTCAAGGGTTGAAGACTGCATAATTCCTTGGCTATAGAGCCTTTGTATAGTGGCTTTTTCAGATGCTGATTGTAGTAGCGATGCTCTTAGTTTGTGAGCAGGTTCACTGTCTCCTGTGGGGCTGGAATGGCAAAGGTCTCATGAAGCTTATCTTGTTCCCCAGTAATGTGCATTTATTTATTTATTTATCCCCCTAGTACTTTATTCACTGGATTGAACAGTTCAGGCTTCAGGCCAGCAGGAGGTGTTCATGTGTATAAAGAAGCTATGACTAAGGCAAGTGGGTAAATGCAATACCCCATGGAAAGCAGAGGTCCCAGGCCTGACAGAGACAGCTGAGGGAGCCCTCAGTGAAACACAGTGAAGTCTTTACAAAGGGTAGGGAGGGAGCAATGTTAGCTCTCCTATCAGACCATCAGGAAAGTGATCTGCCTCCCAATCACACGAGTCACACACCTGACCTAGTGTTCTGTTTATTCAGATCAGAAGAGCCTCTCTTTTCATCTGCAGGAATGCTGATGTTTCACGTAGAGAGGAATTGTGACTCTACCTCTCAGGCAAGCCTGAACCTGGATGGCACTCCTCCTGTGGGAATGCGGTTACCCTGACAATTCCAGATATGCTGCAGGTGCAACCTCACTGAGCTCCCTTGGGAGAAGCCCCCCCTATGTCCACAATGGTGGATGAGAAGGAGAAGAAGTACCCTTCTCCAGACCTTTCACAAGCACCAGGGATGCCTGAGTATTGAGGTAGAGCTACTGATTTTCCCCACTGAGCCAAGCATTGCACTTTTCCCTCTGCTGAAATTTACCACAATTGGAAAGTGTGAGTCCCAAGGCCTGCCATCTGGATTCTTTTGTTGCATTAGGTGCTCTCTTGATGTAGTGCACTTCCTGTTCCCCTAGGAATAGGAGTCCCTCAGGGATAGACTACTGTGAATTCTGCTTCTCCTCTGGGTTTAGACACCTGGTGTGGCTGCTACACTCCAGGCTAGTGCTGGGAATGTCTGCACTGGATCCAGCAATGTGACCTGTCCTCATGTCTCCCAGCAGCAGGTATCAGCACAAGATCTGATGGGGTGGTAGAGAAGTGATGTAGACTCTGTAAGATGCCTTTGATTACAAATAGCCTTAGTATGTTGGCTTTCTCAGAAACCTGTTACAGTAATAATGAAAAGGTCACATGGGCAGGTAGAAGACCTCCTGGTTGCCAGGGTGATGGAGGCAATATTGATTGATAGATGAAGTCACACAAAAGTTTCTTCCTTCTTGGGTGCTGCATTGCTCTGCCTGCAGATACCATAATTGATAGGCTTCACATAGGAGGTCGTGTGCCAGCTGTGGTGGTAGCAGTGGGATTTGTGCTTGACTTATGTTACCCAGAGGAGGTACTCTGGTGTTTCAAGCAATGAACATGGCCATAGAGCTCCCAAAAGTCTCTGTTTTTTGTGTTCAGCTACAAGGTTGGTTAGTGGGCAAAGCTAGATGAGGGCTGGGTCAGGCAAGTCTGCACTCTGGCTACCCATGTGTGGGCATATGCAGCTATCCCAATCAGGATTGGATGGCAGTTCCATGGCCACTAGGTTGATGTTTCAGTAAGGAGTATAGCTGCCTCTGCTGAACAGAAAAGTCCACAAGGGAGTGAGGAGTAGCAGGCCGCAGTAAGCCCCACCCAGCTCCCACACATGTGGCAAGACAGATCTCACACCTGCAGCAGGTACTTGGGTTTTAGGCAGCCTGCACTGAGAACTTAAATAGACCCAGACCACTGACCTTCCTAAGGGAGACACACCATGGCTTTCAGAAGATGGCTCTCCCATTCGTCCCATGAAGCAGGGACACCCAAATTGTGTGTGTGTAAGGCTTTAGCAAACTTTCTACTTGTGCCTCAGTTCTGGACAATGGGTTTCATCCCCATTCAGGATTATATCACAGATCTCAGTTGGGAGCTTCTCTTACTGCCCCACCTAAGTTAGCTGGCTGACTTCTGCAACGTTCTCTGTGAGGTAGGATTAGGAATGGCTTCCCTCTGTCCCCACTGGTGACTGGGAGTACATACAAAGCATGTCCTGATGCTGCTCCTTCTCATTTACTCCCCACTGCTCAGTAGGTCAACACCAGTGCTGGGTAGCATTAAGGCCTTCCTCCGTGGCCTGAATTGCCAGGTTTCCCGGTGGGCGTGTATACCTTGACGTAGTTCCTCCCTGTCTCATGCTCTGGAAACTTGCAGTTGTCCACCTGGCATGGTGAAAGCTGCAGCCACAACTTCTTTCAAAGGGTCTGTGGTTTCTTTCAGTTTTCCTGTTAAGTTCCTGTGTTGCTTCTTGGAAAAATCCTCACAGCATGTCTTTGCACTATTTAGTCTGTCCAAGTGTGAGATGCACACTAACCAAACCTCCAATCTACCATCTTAAATAACTACGAAGAAGTCAATCTTAAATAAGAAAACCAATCAGCTAATGACCAAAATAGAGAAAAGAAGAAAAAGAAGAAAAAGAATAGACCTCTCTAAGCAAGAGGGACTTCTCTGGCACTCTGCTCTTGGACTTAATCTGCACCATTGACTCTCCTGAGTCTCTAAGCTGCCAGCCTGGAAGTGCACCCACAGCTCTCAAGTCTCCTATGCCACCCTCAGATTTAGACTTGCCACTCTTCAAAATTAATATGTGTGTATTGTAAATATAATATGCAAATTGAATACATACACATACGCACACCTTCTATTGGTTCTGCTTTTCTGAAGAATCCAGATTAATACAACCTCCAGGAGTTGTGCATTTTTCAAAGGACATTAAGTTTAAGAAAATTTTTGTAAGGAAGAGACCACCCATATGCTTTTGTACTTTTAGAAATGTTTTATTTATGAAAACACATATAAGAAAAATCTTACCAATCACTTTATCTCAAGAATTTAAACTTTATTTTTGACCTCAGTAATCAAATTCCCTTAGGATTTTATATTTTAATTTCAAATTAATATAAAATATTTTTCTGAATACTTCAAATACATAATTTTCAGATGAAATATTTCCAAAAGTGAAAAACCTCCTGCTAATTTTACACTTAAACAGATTTCTAAATTATTTTATAAAACATCTGGCCACATGCTTCATTATATTTTATGTTCTTTGTTTTTATGTCTTCCGAACATTATTATTAGCTGTACTTTATCTTTTCACTAAGATCTCTGTAATATTACTTAGACGTGATTCCAGAGCTACCTTCCAAACATAAAACAATATAAATATGTACATAGGCCAGCCACGTTTATAATATATGGGCGTATTCTTATTTGAAGAATAAATTTTGGTAGGCTCCCCTAAAAATATTAGAAAAGAAGCCCTCAAGTAGTTTGAAGACTCTCCTCTATAGTTACATGCCAGGGTTTATGACACCAATAGTTGTGTCGCATCAGTTTTACTTTCTGTAATTGAGGCTTCCCTCTGAAATGATGTCTTCTCTGGTTACAGTCAAGCAACATAAAGTAATTGATTTACTGCCACTGTAATATACTAATTGATCTGTTAACATTACTTTAAAATAATGTATTTTATAGGAATTTTAATATCAGTGGGAAATAGAAAACGTATTTTAGACAACCAGAAGACTGGGTTGGCATAAACAGTGTTCCTTTTTAGAAAATTGCCTACATTGAGCATCTTAGAATTACACTGTTGGACTCTGTTTCGGCTGTGTTACTGAGTGTTACAACTTGTATTGATTTTATTTCCTACACCCACTTACCGTGTTAATGTCCATGATTGCCAGTGTGGATTTACTCTTTCACTCTGTGTGACTCTCCTACATTTTCTGGGTTTACCTGCCTGATTCAGTTTCTTGCATTTTCTTTCTTTACTGCTTATGCAACTTCAAACAAGGAAGTATGTATGTTTATAAACAAATTACATTACTTCTGTCTTACATTGAAAAACTAATCAAAATTAACTGCCTCTTGTCATATTAATCTTTTTGTTTTTTAAATTTTTTATCGATAAATCATAATTTATATGTTTGTGGGGGTAAAATACAATGCTTCAGTATATGTATACATTGTGGATTGAACATCTTAGACTAATTATTATGTCCATCATCTCGTATACTTATCATTGCTTTGTGGTGAGAACACTTAAGATCCACCGTTGAAGTGATTTTTAAATGCACAATACATTACTATTAACTGTAGTCACCTTGTCCTGCAATAGTTCTCCAGAACTGATTCCTCACATCTACCTGAAACTTTGTTCCCTTTGCTCAACAATTCTCCTTTCTCCACTCACCCTGCCCCAGTCACTGGCAACTACTATTCTATATGTACCAGTTAACCAAATCTTAGGCTAATGAAGAAGGCTGTTCATCACTTTATGAATATATAGGAGAGGCTTTGGGCCTAAGTTTTACGTTTGCTTTTAATTTAGAAAGACAAGACATTCACCTCAAATTCTTATATATTCATATTTTTCTTCTAAATTTTCCTAATTTTCTTATATTAAACGTCTGTAACTGTCACGTATCATGGGTGGGATTGGTCATGATGGAGCACAGTGGTAACTCTGCTTGAAATACAAAAAAAAAAACCTCCATCTCAAATCAACTTTGTTCTCTTCTGGTGTAGATAATCTTGATTTATGGGAGGAGTTTATTCAGAGCCTCTTTCACATCCTTATTCCTTAGGCTGTAGATCATGGGATTCAACATGGGGAACACCACAGTGTAAAATGTAGAAACTATTTTGTCCGTATCTAAAGAATAGCTAGATCCCCGGGGGAAAGCGTAGATGTAGAGAATGGAGCCATAGTATAAAGTGACAGAGGTGATGTGGGAAGAGCATGTGGAGAAGGCTTTGAGACGACCCTGGGAGGAGGAGATCCTCAAGACAGTGGCAATGATAAAGAGGTAAGAGGCCAGGATGAGCAGGGCAGGGGAGATGACATTGGAGGCCAGCAGGAAATACATCAGAACCATATAACCACCCTTATCACCACAGGCCAGCTTCACCAAGGGAAGCAAATCACAGAAAAAGTCATCAATGATGTTTTCACGGCAGAAGTTGAAGGAAAACGTCTTTTTGGTGATGACTGAAGAGTTAATAAAACCCCCCAAATATGAGACTGCTACCAGAGATGCACATAGCTTTATGGACATGGCCCGAGCATAAAGCAGGGGCTTGGAGATGGCCATGTAGCGGTCATAAGCCATGGCAGCCAGCAAGTAGCATTCACTATAGGCCAGCCCAGCAGAGAAGAAGAACTGACACAGGCAGCCAGCAAAGGAGATGCTTTTGTCTTCAGAGATGCAGGTCACTAGGATCTTCGGGGTGTAGACAGAGGAGTACCAGAGATCCAGAAACGACAGATTTCCAATGAAAAAATACATGGGTGTATGGAGGCGGGAGTCATTACAGATCAACACCATGAGGGTGATATTTCCTACCACCGTCAGAGAGTACACGCCCAGGAACACCACAAACAGTCCCAGCTGCATCCCTGCATCTGTGGTGAAGCCCAGCAGGATGAACTCAGTCACTGTGTGATTGTTCCTCTCCATGGCTGTAAGGAATCTCACCTATGAAGAAGGAACATTAGCTCAGTGTGAATCACTGACGAGTATGTAGAATTATGCTACATAAGATCACATCTGTGGTAATCCTTGAAGTCTAGAACCAACAATCTAATTGTTTGTTTTAGAAAGTTTTCATTTTGCAACAACCAGACACTGTAATTATGTATTCAGTTTTAAATTTCTTAAGTTGATTAATTACGTTTTTCCTTTAGGAATGACTGTTCACATAGAGAAAAAAAGTACTCATAATTCCTGTTTTTTTATACTTTGATCATCTTCCTCTTGTAAATTTTCTTTTTTGCTAAATGTGTAAATTTCTATCTTTCAGTGTCACTTGTTTGTATTTAAAATACTGGGCTTCCCTCTTAAATATATTTTTTAAAAAGTATTTTTTTTTTGAGACAGTTTTGCTCTTGTTACCCAGGCTGGAGTGCAATGGTGCGATCTCGGCTCACCGCAACCTCCAACTTCTGGGTTCAGGAATTCTCCTGCCTCAGCCTCCTGAATAGCTGGGATTACAGGCATGTGCCACCATGCCCAGCTAATTGTTTTGTATTTTTAGTAGAGACAGGGTTTCACCATGTTAACCAGGATGGTCTCGATCTCTTGATCTCATGATCCACCCACCTTGGCCTCCCAAAGTGCTGGGATTACAGGCGTGAGCCACCGCACCTGGCCTAAAAAGTATTGTTATTCAAGTGCTTCTATATATTGAAACATTATGAATGCGTTATAAATTTATATCTAAATATTATATATAGGCTTGAGAAAATACTAAGAAAAGTATAAAGGAAAAAAGAATAGATACAAAGTTTTGGGGAAATGGTGTACAGAATGATATACAATGATGAAATTATGAAGTACACAGTATTTGCTATATTTTACATATATTCTGGAATAAATACAACAATCATTTAAACACCAATTTTAAATATAATTTGCATATACTACAGTATCGCTTATGATGACTTGTATATTCACCTTTTTTTTAAGATTCTCTACATATAGAATTTATAAATGTACTATTGAAATTGGTAGACAGAAATAATCTATCAAATGCACATCCATCTTACATTTTGAAGACAATTCTTGTCACACTAACTTCTCATTAACCTAAATCATTTTTTAGGTAAATAAATAAAAATTCAAGTGCATATGATTTTTGTTTGTATGCTTATCTTCTTGGAACCTAGGATAAAACACACAGTTCACACTCAACTCTCAATATGAGCATTAATAAGCATCAATGTTAATAAACAGTGTCATTTCTGAGTAAATAGAGAACAATATAAAATTGTTCCTTTTGAGCTTTAGCTACCTTTACTTCACTCAGGTTACAATTACTTTACATGACTAAACCCAATGTGAGGTCCTCATCTGATTAGATCTACCTCCAGCATTTCTCATAGTTTATTGCTCCTTCTTTCTAGAAAACCTTCACTTGGATTTCAGGTTGCCATACTTGTCCAGTTTTCTTCCACTGCTTTTGCCCCTTGAACCAATGCTTGGATCTCTCGTCTTCTCCATCTGCCATCAGTTGCTGGCAATCTCATCCAATCTGATGATTTTAAATGCTTCAACATGCCCATGGCGCTAATGTCACCTCTCCTGACTATGCCTCCTCACTGAAGTGTGACTCACAGATTCAAATGCCTAATTAATATTTCTTCCGTAATGTCTCCTGGGCATCTCCAGAAAATTGAGTTCACAGGGAATACTGTTCTATTGTATTCTAAGAGCTATATTATTTGCTTAAGTGTTATCATTAAAAGGAAATTTTTACTAATAATTTTTTCTAAACCTGATCCTCATTCAGTCTTCTCCACTGCAGTAAATGGCATTATTCCATGTTAGGGACAGTCATTTTATGTTTTCTTGACCACTCTCTTGCTGTCACACTGTCACTTATTAATTAGCAACATCTCCTGGATTCTGCCTTTGAAATATATTTAGAACGTGACTAATTTTTTCCAGCTCTAATGTTTTCACTCTATTTGAGGGGCATGATTAGCCTCTAATTGGTCTTCCTGCTTCTCTTCTTATCCCACTTGAGTCTTTCCACATGGCAGCCAAAATGGTCCTGTTTAAATGTCTGTTAGATCATGCTAGTTTTCTGTTCTAAGAACTCCAATGACTTTTTCACTCAATCAGAATACAAGTCAAATTCCTTACAAAGATATGCAAGATTTCTGTGCTCTTGCCCTCTTTATTTGTTCACATCTCCTACTCTTTTCATCTCTGTTAAATCCATTCCAGCCATGCTATCATCCTTTTGGTTTCTAGAATAACATGCTATGATCGATGCCTTGCCTTCGCTCCACCCTGTTGTTGTAATGCTCTTCCCCTTAGGAATCTTTATAGCTAGTTCCCTTACATTTCTCAGTTCTTTATGGTTTCTAGTGTTACCTCCTAGAGGTGTTCTCTGATCACTATATTGCATTCTACTTCCCTGCGATTCTTGTGTCCCTTTCCTACTTTATTGTTCTCTTGTAGTTCTGCTCATTATCTAGTATTACATCTCATTAGTTTAACTTCTTTTCTTTTCCCTTCACTAGAGAATGCTCTTTCCCATCTGCATGTGATGGAAAACATGTATCATTTCATGTTAAATCATATATATTTGTTTGTTTTTTAGGGACTTTCAGACTTATTTTAAAGTCTGAAGACTTTCAGACTTCAGAATATATTTTATTCTGTTGCTATGAGGACTGTTTTAAATTGATTATGTCATACAAAATAGGAATAATGTTTTTTGGATGAGGCAGAATCTTTGAAAACATGAATCCAGGGGAACTACAAGAGGTTTCCTGCAGAAAAAAGTTGAAAACTGCTGGTCTCAACATCTTCTGATTCTAATATTCTCTGACTCTAATGATGATTCAGGAATTTGATCATTTATAAAAGTAATAACTAACCAGAACAATTTACTCTAAATCTAGTACTGTGTTTAGTGTTGTATTTATGTATTCCTCACAACATCCATCATAGGTATGTTTCAAGATTAACAGCAATAATTTTACACAAGACCAAACTAAGGTTTAATTGGTTGCTAATTATTATGCAGTTGGTAAATGATGTTGTCTTTCTTCAAGGGTGTAATACTTAACAGTACACGACCTTCTTTCATACTTCATGTTAGGCTAGCAGTTGTTATTGAGCTTCATGGGTCCCCCTCTTTTTGGTTGCAAATCCTAACTCAAAACTGATAGGACAATGTTGAGAGATTCAGATTTTGTGCTAGTGATTATGTCACATATGCTGGGTCTATAAATGTTTCCAAGCACTGGCTCAATTGTTTCCTATGTCTCTTATATTTACAGCGAACAGCCAACCCTGAACATAAGTAAAGAAACATTGTACTGTCCCCACTTAGTACCAGAACACTTACTGCAATTGTCACAGTCACAAACAACAGAGGATTATGTGGTGGATGCTGTGATTTATACCTGTTCAGGGTCCTCAGTGTATTTGATTTCTTAAGCACCTCAGGAGTTGATAGTTTTGAAAGTCTCTAAAAAGGAAATTAATTTCAAAAATATGGCTTACTTTATTTTATTACCGAGTGCAAATAAATGAAATAATTTAAACATAATAATAATATCTATTACATATTGGGAATATATTCTTTGCAAAATGCCTTCCTGGGAAATTTTCTTTGTTAAATAACTTTTTAAATATGTATTACTCTTCATATTCTAGACAGCAAACTATATCCAGACTAGCATTAACTTGCCCAAAGTAAATTTAGAAATAAGTGGAATTAGGATTTGACCCAAGGCAATCTGATTATTTTTCTTGGTTTTTCGCCTATATCAACAATACTTTAGAGAAGCATAATCTTTGATTATCAATTAACTTATGACTATATGCCTTCACAAATGGACTTTACTTATTGAGTGTCTAGAGAGTTATATTTTGCAACAAACATATTCATTCTCAATTCTTAACTCATTATTTAATTTTGAAGTGATAAGAAAATGATCATATTAGCAAATGTGACAACTTTGGTTAATGTAACAATTTTAACTAAGGTGTCATACTGGCTAAAAAGCAACTTGTCAGCCTTCCCCATAGTATTATTTTTTCAGCATGTATTATGTGCCAGGTACCCTGCTAAGTGATTGTCATCTCATTTAGTCTTCAAAATAATCTTGTAAATTAAGTGCAATTGTGGTTCTTATTTTACAGATGAGATACCTGATACATAAAAATGGTTGTATATATGTTGTTCAAGGACATAAAATTAAAAGGTGCTAGAGCTTTGATTCAAAACCAGTCTTTCTAAGGCTCATCACTTGTCCCAAGAACTGCATATTTTTCTAGAATTATTATGTCTAGATACTCTGAAAGGCACTGGGGACAAGAGACAGGACTAAAGCATATGTGCTGGTTCTAAGAATGAGGTAGTTTATTAGGAAAAATGAATTTTTTTTAAACAACTACTGCAATACATCTGAGAAAATTATCATACCAGATGGTAAGAAGCAGACCAGAGCAGAGACCCTGTTGGGAGAGGTGACAGCAGGTTTTATGTGCTATGAGAGGCTTGACACAGGAAGAGAAAACATGCCTCTTTGCTTGAAAAATGAGTGGGCAGTTACCCATATTTTCTGTTAAAGGATCCCTGACTCTAGTTCATTGGCTTACCAAAAATAATTCCTATCAGACTAATCTCACTGCTTTGAGAGGATTATCTGACTGGTGAAGCAGGAAAATAAATGTTTGTAGACTTCAGGAAGGCAATAATTTTGTGTTTCAACATTATCCGTTTTATAGAAAAAGATCTGCCCCATGTGGTAGGAATGCATTCTGGCAAAAGAAACCATAACTTTGAAGGCACAGAAGCAGTCAGTGGAGTGTAGGGTGGAGGAATGGTTGGAAACGTGTCAGACCTCCCTGGTGTGCAGAGCATATTTGAGGAAAGGATAGGAATGAAGTTAGATGAGATCAGGAAAGATTTTTTAGGCTGTACTCAGAATATTGTTGGAGGTAGTATTAATCAC